ATGAGTTATATTTTACATGATCATTGCTAAAAACAGCTAGATAATGCACACTTGTGGCAAATTTTTAGAGGGCAGTGAAGAAAGGGTCATGGCAAATTGGGCGAATGGGAAAAAAAAGGGAGGCAGCAATAAAAGATCAAAGGTAGAAGGAGAGTAGGCAGTGAGAAAAAAACAGGCAAGCAGAGACAGGTGCTAAGTATCAATTCGCTGAATATCATCTCCCCAAATGTCCTAACCTCCTTTTAGATTCAACCCCAATGCTGGATTTCACTAGACTGTGAAGAATTTTTCATCAGTTAATGCTTTTGATGCAAAACCACAGCCAAGTGATTAATTCCTTTTACTTTAGAATTGAGATACTGAAATAAAAAGTTTTTTTATCTTCTTAAAATTAAATAACTTTTTAAAACTATTTTGTGTGTAGTGGAAGCACACTTAAAAGAAAATGAAATAAAGATATAATTGTCAAGTCATGGATAGAGGTGAATACTAGGGAGACAAACCATTCTTTAATTTTAAGAGCTATTTGCTCTGCTTTTTAGTTCTTTGCCTTTCTCTAAAATTATAGATCATTATCTTGTAATCCATCCTTTCAGCATAAATGCCCATAATGTCTTAGCAAGCTTCTTTAGCTTCCACCTCAAAGCTATTTTATTAGTCCATTCTACCTTTCTCCTCACAGGACAAAATTCTACACAATAAAGTGTCTCTTCAAGTCTAAAGGTAAAGTATGTGAGGTGGAGGAGAAAGTAAGCTTATCCTCATGCTTAATAAGTAATGTATTTATTTTAAAGTTTTCATGTAGGAAAATTAACTTTTATGTACAGTTTTATGAATTTTAGCATACTCATGGATTCTTGTACTACCACAACCAGGAAATGAAATAGTTCTACCACCCCCTAATGATTACCATGGTGTTTTTCCTGGCTTTAACCCATCAACCATAGACCTACTTTCTTTATAGTTTTGTTTGGTTGGAATATCCAACAGATGGAATCACATAATATATAACCCTTTGAGACTGTTTTCTTCCACTTTGAGATTTACACAGGTTGTTGTGCCTTGTTATTGCTGACAACTGTTATTGTTTGAATGTGACATAGTTTGTTTCACCATTCATTCTTTGAATAGCATTTGGGTTTCCAATTTTCAGTGATAATGAATAAAGTTATTTTAAACCTTCCTGGAGCATAAATTTTCATTTATCTTTTTTTTACTAAATAAGAGTAAAATTACTGTGTCATGTGTTAAGTGTATGTTTAAATTCATAGGACACTGCCAAACTATTTTCCAGACTGGTTATACTATTGTGTATTCCCATCAGCTATGTATGAGAGTTCTAGTTGCTCCACTTGTTCACTAGTACTAGGTATTGTTAATTTCCTTTTCTTTTAAAAATTTAGTCATTATTGACTAAAGGTGTGTAGTGAGTAATACCTTCAAAATTTTTAAAGCTAGTCTAATAATTCTTTAGTCACCAGTGATGTTTTATTCTCTTTTTTCCTGAATTATTATTATTACTATTATTTTTGTGTATGTGACACTGGGGTTTAAACTTAGGGCCTCACACTTGGCAGGCAGGTGCTCTTGCCACTTGAGCCTCTCTGCCAACCCTTTTTTTGTGATAGGTTTTTTTTTTTTTCAAGATAGTGTCTTGCTAACTATTTGCCTGAGCTGGCTTCAAACTGCTTCTGATCTCTGCCTCTTGAGTAGCTAGTTTTATAGGAGTGATCCACCATTGCCCAGTTGAATTATTGTTTTAACTTTTTTTAGCTTACTTTCCCTGGTAGCACATTTCTAAATCTTTCCCTCCAAGCAAAAATTTTTAGAATAGTTCTTACAATTAAACAGCCACACAGCAAATCTAATTCAATAAATATTTACTATGGACCAGACAACATATTAGACATTAATAGTACAAAAGCTAGAATGTCTAACTTTGAGGACCTCAGGGAAGTAAAAAGAAAAATGCATATATTATGACATATGTAATAAGTATAATACAGTAATGTGTTAAGGAAATGGCGTAAGGAATATATAATCTTTGTGAGGCAAATGGATAAAGGATAACATTGTAGGTGTTTAGGAAGGAAAGGGCATTTTACATAGAAGGATAATCATAGCAAAGAGATGTGAAACAGCAAGCAGTTTGGTTTCACTGGAGGACAGAGTGCTTATTGGAGTAACAAAAGGATAAAGCTAGGCTCTTTACATCAGTTTTTCCTATGGACCACTGTAGAATTTAAGTTATTTTTGTTGCTGGAGGGTAGGAAAGGTGTGATGATGGTTGTGATGGTAGTGCAGGTGTAACATGGTTAGATTTGCATTTTAGTAAGATCATCTGAGTATTATAATGAACGATTTTGAGATAAGATGTTGATACCAGAGCCAAGGAGACCAGATGGCTTAAGAGACTATTTCAATAGAGTTGATAGAGGTTAAAGGTAGAAACAATGAGAATAAGACAATATATGTGGGAAGAGAGGTTAGTGAAGAGGGTAGAATGGCTGGTAAGAGAAAGAACACATTGACTTGAAAGCTGCTAAGAAGACTTAGTAACTGATCTGAATTTTTAGTGAAGGAAAGTTATTATGAGTTTCATACCCCTCCCCCCAAAAAAAGATGTGTTGCAGTCCCAACCCTCCATTCCTCAGAATGTAATGTTATTTGGAAATAGAAATACTATAAGTTTAATTAGATAACATGAGGTTATACTGGAGTTGGGTAGGCCCTTAATCCAACATAACGGGTGTGTTTATAAGAAGATGACTGTGCAGACACAGAGAGAACAGCATGTGAAGATGGAGGATTAGAGTGATGCATGTACAAGTCCAAGAATATCAAAGATTCATGCAAAACCATCAGAGGCTAGGAAGATACACGGAAGGAGTTGCCTGTGGTCTTCAGAGGAACCAGGGCCTTGGTGACATCTTAATTTGGGGATTCTAGATTTCAAAACTGTGAGACAAGAAATTTCTGCTATTTTAAGCCACACAGCTTAAGGTACTTTATTATGATAACATTAGGAAACTAATACAGAAGGAAAGAGTTCATTATGATTTTGGATGAAGATATCATTAGCCATAGTGAAAACTATGGAAGTAATCAGAATTCCAGTAAGAAAAAGTTCATGAAATTTAAATGCTGCTGCTTGTCCATTCTCTAGAATAGGGATGTACTATGTTCAATAAAAGTGATGACTAGGCCAAATTCATTAAACACACTTAAAGTTGAAGCCATAAAAAGAAAAAGGTGGAAGAAAAAGATGTAAGTTAGAGAATAAATGTAAAAGGATTTTCTGAAGCATTTTCTCAGACAAATCAATCTAGATCAGGAATCTTGTAATTCTTTATATGCTAAAGGCAGTTTTGTATTTCTTTATATGAACATGTATTTTCAACCAACAGTAACTATCTTGTTTATTACTAGATAGTGGAAGTGTTCAAATGTTAACATGTTCTGGTTAGTATGAATTTCTCTGTGCTTGTGAAGTTAAAAATATTCTCAGTTGTAATTAAATGTATCTTAAGTCAGTGTATAAATAAGCATTCCTATACTTAAATCCTATAATGTATTTGTACTTCACTTAAGTGAATGTGGAAGAAAAAAAAACAAGTAATCTAGTTAGATTGTTTCATGTCTTTGTTGCTTTATTATTTACATTCTGTTCTTTAAAAATTGTAATATTAATACAGTTTATTAGGTTACTATAAGTCCAGAATGAACACTTTTTATGAATTGTCAAAATTTTAATACTCCTCAGATTGCAACTGGATAGTGGAAACTGATGCTGTCTGCCATAATTTACTAAGGCCCTAAAGTATGCAGTGATGAGGTCAGACAGATGGTCACTGTGAGGAGCTGTAATTTACATATTAATTGCATACTAGCAGTTTGGCCTACCACAATTTTGTGTTTGCTGTCAGAAGACAAGAGAGTCCTGAGTCAGAAATACAGGACTTCACAACTAATGGCACAACAAGCAACATGAGCTTCATGATTCTATTGGCTCCTCTCACACCCAGCCCAGAACACATGACATGGTCTAGGCTGGTTTGCACACAGTGGATTTGTGTCACAGCTGAGGAACCATGACCTAGGGGAATTCTAATCTTCTTTTATTCCCATACTGGGTTTTGAACTGAGGGACTAGGCAGTTCAAAGTTTGAACTGAGCTAGGCAGGTGCTCTATGACTTAAGCCATGCCTCCAGCCCTTTCTTCTCTGGATATTTTTGAGATAGGATCTCTGTCTGTGCTACCCCAACCCCAGGCTTGCCTGGGCCTCACTTCTCCTATTTACGCTTCCCATGGTAGCTAGGATAGCAGCTGTGCATGGCCATACCCACCTTTTTCTGCTAAGATGGGGATCTTGCAAACTTTTTGCCAGGACTGACCTCTAACCATGATCTTCCTGATCTCAGCCTCCCAAGTAGCTATAGAAACTCCAGTGTTTTATAATGAACTTTAAGAAAGCTTGCTTAATCTTTCTTGCCCCAGAGAGAGATGTTACCTTTATGATACTAAGCAAAGGTGCTCTGATAATGTCTGAGAGACATTACATCTTCCATGACTGCTTACTATTAAAAAAAATCCTTGAAAAGCTAGTCCATAATAAATGGCAGTGCTTCTGCTCTTAAGCACCAGAGGCCCATGGAGAATTATTATCTTTGAATATTTTGTGTCACAACCTAAACACTAGAGTTATGGAGAAAAAAGTCTAGTGCCTGGATATTTAAAAAGAAAAGAGCTAAAATTTTTTTTTTCTGTAAATTCTAATTTTGTAAGACAAGTTTCTTTATAGTGTTAATACTTTATCATATACATTTTAATCTTGGCATAATGTTGGATCAAAATGGATATTTTCTCTTTGTATCATAATACATATAATTTATTTCACAGTATAGAAGGTAATGGGTAGTCTCGTATTGACTTAAGAGGGTTGATTTAGAACAGAATGTGAAAATATATTTTCTAATAGAATGTTGAATGCAACAAGGACTTACATGAGGTTAATAGTTTATTAACTTTTAAGCTGTAAATGATGAGCATCTTTAAAGTACTTGTAAAGATGCATATTAGCTTTCTAAATTCAGGTAGTTCTGTAGACGAACAGGAATTAGAAGTGAAAATATTCCATTTGGGAGCACATTGTTGTTCAATAGTTGAGTCCTGATGGTTATTCTGCAAAGATGTAGTAGTTCACATGGGTCCTCGTATCTTGTTGAGGGAATGTATTCCAACCAATTTGAAATAATTGGACGTCTTCCTAAACTCAGCTGCGTCTGAAGAAAAATGATATACTTTATTTTTATCGTGTTAATCATTGGATGAGTCCAGATTATTAGTGCTTTTATTTTTTATTTGAATTCAGAAAATAGGTCTTAAGTTTATACAATCCTTGTAACCTTTGTCAAAGTGTTTCCACTCGAGGCAAGTATTTTATTCCCATGTTATTTTCATGATAATGAAGTTTAAATTATAAGTCTAAGGACACAAAGCAAAATTGTTTTACAGCTATGAGTAGGTAAGTTTTTAATTTTAGATGGATCCTAGTTATGTTTTATCAGTTTCTCCTTCTAGAGGAGTTATTATCAACATGGCCAAACACTGGAATTATCTTGGGGAATATAAGAGTTACCAGTACTTAGGTTCTATTCCAGAAATGATTGTATTGGTTTGGCACAGGACACAGTGTAATTCCTTAAAATTCTCCATGTGGTTCCAACAAGTGTGAAATAAAAATTAACACACAAGAAGACATGAGTGGAGTCCTGCCCAAATGAAAAGATACCTTTTTAAAGGTTCAATTCTAGAGGTCAAATACAAATAGATTAATTTAGAAGGAAAGAATATTGCTATACTACAGAGATAGTTTCCCAGTAGAACCTATACTTTCCAGACTCCATTAACAGTTTGCTTATCTAACATATATATATATATATATATATATATATATATATATATATACACACACACATATATGTGTATATATATATTATTTAAACATCAGCTATTTAAAGAATTTCTACTCTATGCTCAGCATTATGGTAGGTACTTGGGCTAATTGTTAGAGCATACAAAATGGGAGTTTTCTGTGCTCCCAAGACCCCTGGTCTAATATATCTAAAGATATATTCGCAGTAAACTGTATGTACTGTGATGGTGGAAACTGGGAAAGTGTGGAAGTACAAAGAAGGGACTAAAGTGTTCTTTAAGTAGGTTTAATGCGATCCTTTCATCCAGGCAGATAATTTTTTGCTCAACTCTATCCTAGTGTTTTTTCTACTGTAGTTTTACTTCAGGAATACCATTCTTGGAACTGGTTGAACACTAATATATTCTGTAATAATTGTTCAGGACTAACACTGGACAAGGACCAGCAAGTTACTGAAGATGTAAAGAATTATTTTTGTTTTAAAAATGGGTTGCCAAAATAATTTGAACAATTTTCTTTCCTTACAATTGGTCCAGGGACTGATATTTATTGTTGAGGCATTGAAAAAAACAGCACAGTTATGTATTTTATTAATTTATTTCTAAAGTGTACTTTTTTGGGGGGAGGGACTGGGGTTTGAACCCAGGGCTTCATGCTTCCTAAGCAGGCACTCTACCACTTGAACCATTCCACAAGTCCCTCTAAAGTTTCACTTTTAAAGATAAGGGGAACTACTGGTTCCTTTGTAATTTGACTGGTTTAAGTTAAAGAAGTAAGTTTCCGTAAAGCAGACTTATTTCTTTCAATAACTGGACATGATTCAATTTGGTGCTGAAACTTGTAGTTCATTTTGAAGGGTGAACATTGCCTTGATATGATTGATTTTTTTCTTTTTCTCTAAACTTTGTTTATTCCAAAAGCCTTGTTAAGAAGGTCTCAACATTTCTGTGAGATATTTTCAGTTGAAGATATGTTTTAAGTCTTTATAATGCTTAAAATTGTTTTGAGATTTTGAATGGAAAAACGTATTTCTTACTGTATTACTTGTTGTATTTGTGTGGAGAAATGCAACCCTCATTTTGAAATATTCCTTTGGAAAGGAGGTCTGTTAAATTTTCAATTTTTTGTTTTATGAGACAAAAATATTAAACATGGCTTATGTTTTTGGAATACAATAATGTATATCTACTTAATAACACTGAAATAAACTAAATTTGACTTTTAAGTTTCTCTGTTTACAAAATCAAAATTTAAGGACTAATTTTTTAGCTAAATTAGATTTTACCTCATTTTTAATTAATAAGCATTTACACAGTGATTATTTTGTCTTTGGATGTAACTTATAGATTTAAAATTAACTTTTATTTTTGCCAAGAAAGGCAAAAATAAAAATGGAATATTGAAATTCATCAATATTTAATCCCGAACCCAAATATCAGTGTCTTGCTTACCTCTATTTCCCTGATTGAAATGGTAGAAAGTACTCTGGAACATAGCACTAAACATGTTTTGGCATCTTCCTGGATGTCAATCAATTCATGATCAACCATTATTCTCACTCTCGAAGGGTAGAGCAATATTGTTAAGACAATGTTAATAGGATTTTTTTCTCTCTCTAAAATTCCATATTGCAGGAGTATTTTTAAGATATTAGATTGTCTTGTCTGAGCCACATAAAGTAGAGGTGTGATGCCACTTAATGGGCTTGGACAATATACTGGTGTGAAAGTTCTGTGAATGAAACAAAACAAAAGTCCACTGAATACAGGATTGAGTAAAGTGATCTTAGCAGTGATTCAAAATAATAGTATTATCTCTTAAGTACAAGTTATCTTAATTTTTAATATATATTTATGTATAATATAATTTACATTGCATATAGTATGTCTTAAATTTTTATATTGTATAAATCTAGACCAAACTGAAGGTTAAAATAAATCTCCTACTGCAGATTGAAACTTCCCTTTACAGTGTATGTAAATTGTTTACTCTTAGTTATAACAGTTCTGTTTCTCAATTGAGAAATCCACATTGATTAGGCGAGTATTATAAAATTCATGAAGCCCTAGAAAATCCAAAATGGAAATGAAACAAAGACCTTTTCATTTCACTTTATTAATAGAATTATGTGACTATTTTAATATCTTTTTGTTTTTGTTCTCAATAGCATATCAGACATGAGCTTGAATAGAGTAGAGATTAGATGAAAAAGGATTAAGTATGACTATTTTGATTATTTTTTTTTTCATTTTAATACAATTAAGATGGATGTTTGTGGACTTAAGAAATGTAAATTATGATGACAGCTGTATCAGAACTCTCCAGGACAGAATTTTATTTTCCTTCTTCAAGAGTAAAGTTTAGAATTTCTTCTTGCCAGCCAGGGCTACACAGTGAGTTCAAGACCAACATGGCCTACACAGCAAGACCCTTTTTCAAACAAAACAAATCAAAGCAAACAAAGAATATCCTCTAAAATTTTATTTTCCCTAGGTAGCACATAAGGTCTAAACTTGAAAATTTCTCCCCCCATGACAGAATGAAAATTTTAAATTTTTGACAATTATATAGTGTTTGCAAGTGTTTCATTTACTAGACTTTTGTACTTACTATTGAGTTGGTCACTACCAATGTAGAGTAAACATGGTGATATGTCTCTGACCATAGGGAATTTTAACAAAAATTTTTCCAAGTAACATGTCTTTTAGAACTAAGGAAAGGGGAATTTGATTAATGGTCTTGTCTCTTGAATTCTCTTGTTTGACCCAATAAAATATTAATATATTTTATATAATAACATAGAAAGTATAATTGATTTTAGACAACTATGCAGAATAAAGAAAGGGGAACTTTAAGATTGCATATGTTTAATTAATATGGGAGGAAGCATGGTATAATAGTATAAACATTGGAGGCTTAAGCATTTTAGGTTCTGTTTAGGTTCTAAAACTAGCTGTGTGATCTTGGGTAAGTCAGTTTCTGAGTCTTAGTTTCCACATGCATTTCTGTAATAATTTGCTCATTCTTTCATTAACTTTTTTAGAACATGCCTTTTCATACAGAGATGAAAAATGTATTCATTGATTAGTATCACAGACAACAGAAAATAATTTAATACAGTAAATACAATAAAAGGTGATAATTGCTATGATAGAAGTCAGCTTAAGTTATTATAGAAACATTGAGGACTGTCACTGAACTCTATATGGAATAGTCATTTCCTGTAGATTATCTGGGAACTAATAGTTGAAGACTAGTGTTTTCCAATAAAAATATTAGAATGTTTTAAGCACAAGCATGAACCACCATTGGAGGATTATTACACCTGGACTAGCTATATAAAATATACATTTTATTTTAGAGGCACTGTTTTCAAACTGTCTTTACTGAATAATTCTATAAAACTAAGAAAAGGGAGCATCTCTGGTTGAAGTAAATTTGAGGATCCTAGAGGTCTCTGTCCTACTGAATCCCTTGTCAGGAGCTCCTAAAAGTATAGTTGCAGAATAACTTGACCAACTAGGTTATCTTTAAAACTTCATTAAGCCCATAAAAGCCAGACAATCATAATTTAAAAATACAATAGTGTAATGCAAATTAATGTTTTAGAACTCAAGATATAGGTAATAATTCTGCCACTGATGCTATCTTTTCTATCTACACACATATATGTGTGTATATATGTATGTATATGTGTGTGTATATGCAAACATATATATATATATATATATATATATTTAACTGATCAATTCACCTATTCACTTTCTCTCCTGAGTCATCTCCAGACTAATATTATCCTGAACATCTCAACTTTTTCCACAAATACTTCCAATGTATGTCCAAAGTTGAAGTCTTTTTTTTTTTTGATGATTTTTTTTCATTTTTCTTTTATTATTCATATGTGCATACAAGGCTTGGTTCATTTCTCCCCCCTGCCCCCACCCCCTCCCTTACCACCCACTCCGCCCCCTCCCTCTCCCCCACCCTCAATACCCAGCAGAAACTATTTTACCCTTATTTCTAATTTTGTCGTAGAGAGAGTATAAGCAATAATAGGAAGGAACAAGGGTTTTTGCTGGTTGAGATAAGGATAGCTATACAGGGCATTGACTCACATTGATTTCCTGTGCGTGGGTGTTACCTTCTAGGTTAATTCTTTTTGATCTAACCTTTTCTCTAGTACCTCTTCCCCTTTTCCTATTGGCCTCAGTTGCCCAAAGTTGAAGTCTTTAACTACTCCTTCTGCATTACCTATCATTGGTACCCAGTATCCACCATTTTATGTAGCTCTTCACAATTTTTTTTGCTTTGTGTATGTTGTCCTCCTTTTAAAATTCTGAGACAAGCCTAGCATATCTTTGAAGACTTTCACCAGTAAACTTTCATGAAGTCTTGATTACCCTGAACTTTGTCTTACAACTCATGGTATTTCATAACTACCTCCCTCAAGCTCTTATCATTTCAGAAAACTTCCTTAGTATCTTTAAACTTTCATTTTTCTCATCTTCAAAAAATATTGTTGAGAAAGAGGATCTATAAAAATTTAAGCTCCAAAAGGGCAGCAATTTTTGTCTTTTTGGGTCACAACTGTATCTCTTTGAGTACCTAAAACAACATTAAGCCCTTAGGAGGCACTCACATATTTCTTAATTGGAATTTGCTTTCAGTTGTAACAAGATTTCTGGTGATCTGCAATCACTTAAAGTTTTGAAATCCAATGTAATTTATTCATTTTGCTAGTTCTTGAGAAGGTATTTGACTTAGCCTTATAAGCATGGAACCCTAAGTAGTCATTGTTAAGATGGAGAAATACTAGATTATTCAAAGATGTTAAAATTAATATTACCTTTAGAAGATATTGAATGAATATTGAAAATGTTGAAAACATGACTAAAACTCAAATGGGTTTAAAATGAGACTTAAAAGTCCAATCTATATCCAAATGACATATGATTAATCTTCATGTTTAAAGAGTATGGTGCTATAAACCAAAATTTGCTTAATCTGTACTGACAGTTAATTATAACAGTACTTATATGGATGTAGTGAGGCAAGCAAGGCAAGAATCAGTTTTTAAATGTGAGGTTAATGAACTGAAACCTGTATCTAAAAACCTGTCATCTGTGCTTATGAAATGGGGCATATATTTCCATACAGACATGCAGATGATTCAGTTTTGTAGCTGTAATTATTTCTAATTTTTTCTACATGTTCTTTGTTTCTAGATGATAAAGCTAATAGATACTTCTCCTTAGTAATTTTATATCTGTAGTATTCAACATAGTAGACTGTCTTGAAGCCATGTTTTCCTTTTACTCAATCAGACTAATATCTCTAAGTTACCCATCTATCTTTTTGTCTATTCCTTCTCGACACTCTTGCCCAGGTTTCTCAACACCTAACTAACTATGCATTTTGACCAATTTTCATTTGATTATTCTCAGGTAATTTCATCCATGATCATAACTTCAACTACTGTCTACTCATTTATTTCACCAAATATTGAATATATACACTGTTTTAGGTGCTTGAGATATATTAGTTAACAAAAATGAACCCCCCTGCTGTCTTGTATTAAAGTGAGGGATGACTAACAACATAGGGTGAACATAGCAAATGAGCAAATTTTATAATGTTAGAAGGCAATAAATGCTGTGGAAAATAGGTACAGTAGAGAAGGATAAGAAGTATGGATATGCTGGGAATTGCTTTGAGGGCAATTTACAATTTTAAATGGGATGTTAGGAGAGGGCATTACCAAAAGACTAGAAGGAAGTGAGGAAATATTAGCTAGGTAGATATTTAAGGTGCCAAAGACAGGAGAGTGTGGCTGGAGTGGTGAAGGAAGAATAAGGGAGCCAGCAGGACTAAAAGGGTGAAAAGGGTGGAGAATAGAAGGATGTAGGACAGAGGAAATGGGATGTCACATTGTGGAGAACCTTATGGATCACTATAAAAACATTACCTTTTACCCTTTATGGAATGGATGAGTCATTGGAGATTTCAGGTAGAAGAGAAACATGTCCTGCCCTTTGTAGAGAATTTATTGTAAAACAAAAGGAAGGAAACTGCTTAGCTTGAGACAGGGTAATAGCAATGGAAGCACCATATTGTGTAAACTGCTTGCAGATAGAATCATCAGATATTCTAACAGATTAGATGTGGGATGTAAGAGAAAGACATCAGAGATGGCACTACATATCTAGGCACCTACTGTACATCACTACCTGTATATGTCATAGGCAGGTCAAACTCATATGTCCAAAACTGAGTTTGTAGGTGCTTTGTAATACCTTAATAGGTATGAGTATGGCAAAAGGAAGTTTCCAGATATGATTAAGATAAGGATCTTGAGATGGGCCCAATGTGACTGACTGCAAGGATCTTTAAATAATTCTTCTTCTTCCTCCTCCTCCTCCTCCTTTCTTCTTCTTCTTCTTCCTTCTTCTTTCTTCTTTCTTCTTCACAATAATGAGGTTTGAACTAAGGGTCTCACACTTGCTAGGCATGAGCCACTCCTCCAGCCCACAAGGGTACTAGAAGTGTCAAAATGATGAGAGTGAGTCTGTGAAGGAGATAGGGTTCTACTACAGTGCCAGCTTTCAAAGTGGAGGAAGAGGCTGTGTACCAAGCATTATAGGTGGCCTCTCAACGCTGGCAAAAGCAAGGAAACAGATTCTTCCCAAGAAACCAGATCTGCTAAAATTTTGATCTTAGCCCCCATAAAGTCT